ACGAGACGCTCAGTCAGTTCATGTCAAGTCAGTCGGGTAGATATATTGAAATTTTGTATCCAAACATTCTAGACTACAAAATCTAAAACTGTGTGCAACATAAATACCACTAAATACTGCTAAAGTATGCTAATTCTATTGTTTTTTATTGCTTAATTAACACTATTTTGTAGTAAATAGTGGACAGTGTTGCACACATTTAATGTTTGTACTCTACCATTGCATTCAATAGTGCCTACTTTGAGATATTTTGATTCAGTGGCCATGTACAAAAGAATTGCAGACGAGGCTTCCGGGAAACAGCAGATATTCTTAATTTCCCCGGAGCCTCGTTTGAGTATGGTCACTGAGCCAAAATATCTAAAAGACGTGACGCCTATTATTCCGCCATCTTGAGTTATGTTTAAATTTTGTGAAGTACAAGGGACAAGAGAACTCAATTATTTATTTCCCAAAACAATGCAATAGTCAAGATTGGATCGATATTGCTAAAAAGGTCTTTAATATAAGCATTGATGTGGCGATGAGAAGACCGAGAATTGATTAGTCTATATACGTACCGTTTTAATAAGAAGAAAGAGAAAATTAACAGTTGATTGATTGAATCACATTTACTTGAAATAAAAGCAAAATTATGTTGAACTTTGTATTGGTATTCTGGAAAAATATTTTGACAATTTTATAAAAACATTGACAACCAACCAAAATAAGCAGACAATGGCTCTCCGTGTGTCCAAACTTGATGTCCAAACTACTTTTTCGTGATATAATAGTTATTGATTGATACTAAAGGCTAAAACCTGTCACTTAATCAGATCGTACTGAAATATATATTGTTCACTGATGACTCACAAAGAACAACATTTGGATTATCTTATAATCAGAAAAGTTAAATTTTCTTGAATTTTCCGATTATTGGACACAAAATACAGGGCAGTACTTACAAGTAATACACTCTCACACGTCAGTTTTTCCTGCTTTTAAGTCCTAGCTTTTCATCTGTCTTTTTGTATATATCTTTTTTAACTTCGTGCTTCTGCAGCGTTCAAATTGATACTGATGGATATGTTTGCGCGATGTTTATAGTTAAAACATTTAGGCCACCTGCAAATGGTGTAACTTATTTAAAACCTGACGAAGGTAATTTTTTAAATATTTTACTTATCGTGGTTATCCAGCAAGGCGATTTGAAATTTACACACAGCTTGTGATCATTTGTACGAGTGAGTGCCAGACAATTCATTTTTTTACAACTTTCAAAAATGGCGCGATATGTCACGGCCGAACACGGCACTGGGGACGAAGTATTAAAACGATCTCTCAAAGGCCACTCCAGCGGCTCCGTATAGTAACTGACTTCAATGGTGTCTTGTAAGAGTGTTTTGCTATAACATACCAATACATCTTCAAATTTTTTGTACACTACATACATACGATCTTCGTAGTGATTTCTTGATGGAAGGCCTTTTAGGTCTCGTTTCCATGATTCGTCACTAGTCCCCCGATATTGGCGGTCGTGAACTACCGCCATTTTTGAAAGTCGTGTATGAGTAGTTTTTTTTTAAGAACAATCGTGGAATATGTAATTCAGTTCAAATCGCGCCAATGTGTGTTGTTAAACAATGTAATAAAGGCTGCGCTATGCAGATCACAAATAATAATATCGTCTTCTAAGCGGTATTTKTTGTTGTTTAATCTCGTTTGTAGTAATTTATCGAAGTATAAACACAGTATTACTATATGATTTGCTGAGTTTATCCTCACCAATAACACAAGAAAGTACTTTTTTAACTTCCAGAGTTGCTAGGGTTTCTGGCATCAAGATAAGGCAGGCACATCCTTTTCAAACATCCTTCAAAGTTGGAGACATTTGATCTGCATATTCAAAKCCTGTGGAAAAAAGAACTTTTGTTGTTAAGAATTCAACTGTGAAATAAAAATACAACGAACAATGAAACTTACTTACTTATTAGGTCTATATGAGCAGCACTTTTGACCAGTGAATGGCATTCGTAGAATCGTCTTCTCACTATGTCAGCTCCTCATAGTAAGTAGAGTGCTCTTGGTATTTGATCAGTATTAGATATTATAAATCCTGTCTACATCTGACGTGATAAAAACTGTGACAAGAAGAAACAACTGGAAAGAGTTCTTGAAAAHTGGTAAATATACAATAACGAGTCAGTCGCGATAGGAATTTGTACGCTCAAAACTACCCGCTTATGCCAAASGTAAATGGTTATATTCAACAAGCTAGCTAGGGTCCAACGGTTGAGATCATGATTGCAATTGTCTGGTCGCATGTCTAAATGCTAAATGTTGTCTAAATACAGTATAGTATAGTTCTTCACCTTATAAAGTATAGAAATAGCAAGAATGATGTTTGACATTCGCCATTCTATCCGACAACCTTTTTTTAAACTGCTATATGCGTGAAAACGTGCATTTCAATAAACGTTGTCTTCGCCAGGACACAGTCCACAGTCTCGAGCCTGCAAAGAATCTCGGGGTTTCCATGCGTAGCAAAGTGATATATATTCAAACAAAATTTGCCTTGCACTTATAAGTTCAGTCTCAAGGTCCATCTTTTTAAAGACATCACAGTCAGAGGGGTTAATTGGTAATCTGTATCTATTCTTCGATATATCTTACAGGTCAAAGTGCAAATACGAGATYATTCACGATAACTGGTTTTATACCGTTATCATCACGATTCGACAGCTTGSAAGTTATATTGGGTAATTGTTAAAACATGCTCCGTCTGTGTTAATTCATCTYTGATTAAAATGCAAGCTCACTGCGAAAGTCGACGTGCAGTGACATTTCAAACATTGAAAGAAACCTCACCTGCACGCCTGATATCCCTCGCGAAAAACGATGAGAATAAAGAAGAAGTGTCAGGGATTGCTTGGCCTACCAATCAGAGTCTCGTGTTTGCATTTGCGGGKSAAGGTGCAAACTGGCAAGGCATGGGTAAACAAATGATGGATCGTGAGCCTTTGTTTTATGATCACATTTGMCAAATCGACAATTTATTGCAAAGTTTAGGGGAGAAATGGTCTTTGGTCAATGAAATAAGAAACAGTGAAAATAAGAGAATTATGGGTAACATAGTTGGCCAGCCTGCAACGTTTGCCATTCAATACGCGACGGTTAAACTACTCGAATCATGGGGCATCAAGCCATCGGCCGTTGTTGCGATGAGTCTTGGTGAGGTAGCTGCGGCATGTTGTTCTGGGGCCTTAAGTTTGAAAGAGGCGYTACAAATTATACAAATAAGGTCGAGGTGCCAAGAAAATWGCTCACCAGGTTCAATGGCTATTCTTGGCATGTTGGAAGAMGAAGCACAAAGTATGATAACTGATTTAGGATTCGAGAGTTCAGTTTGTGTTGCAGGCGTTAATGACAACTGTAATGTAGTAATTTCAGGCGACAAATATTCAATTGAAGTCATTGAAAATCATGTAAAACTACATTATMCGAATATGTTTTGGAAAGTGTTCATCAAGATGTGTAAAGCGTACCATAGCATGCATATGGATCCTATCAAAACTTCATTTTACAATGCAATGGAAAGTTTYAAGMTTAAACCCAATTTGTTAAAGATCCCAATGTATTCCTCRACTCTTGGCCAATCAGTCACTGCCAAACAGCTGGGAGAGGTGGACTACTGGTGGAAGAACATACGAGGGTGCGTACTGTTTTATAAAGCAACAAGCCGTGCTATTGAAGACGGCCATACAGTGATCATAGAAATCAGTCCACAGCCAGTTTTGAAGGTCTATCTTGACAACATTGTAACCCAAACCAGGAATACCCTAAACAAGACGGCCTTCTATCTAACGACATTCCCACATCAAAGTGTAACTGACCAACACAAGGRGTTCTTGAATAACACTTTTTGTCGCCTATACAAGATGGGKTATCCTCTTGWTTGGTYTGTAATCAATGGMAATGGMAATGGCTCACAAAAATGKTTGCARTGAGAAATTTGAGAAACAGCTGTKCGGAGATATTAAATAACGATGGCTTATTCTTGAGTTGATGTACTAGCTAGTGGGATGGAAAAAGATTGCATCACAAGAAACAGYTTAGTTTTGCAGGCTAGAAATACCGTATATTAACTTCAACGTTTTCATGATTTTGATATTTGTGAAATGGTCTCWTGTATTTTGTTTACAAAAGGGTTTGGCTCTAGACCTAGGGGCACGCTACTCATGTAGGCACGGTATTAGGCAAGGTGTTTCATTAAGTTGTTTTGTGTCAAATTGTAGTTATAGAAATTGATATTTCAAGACACTGAAAATAAAGATGTATATAAAGATGCATATTGTTATCTTAAGTATTTGTATACAAAAGCTTATATTTTCTTTTGGAACATCATGCAAAAAGATCTACCAGAAAGAGAAAAAATTTAGTTCTTATTCTCAGGTCTTATTTTCATTTCCGCTCTCTTGGCTGAGTAGTGGTAGCCCTTCCAGGTATACCAGTTGATGCCATCACCGTATGACCGGTGACTACCAGGTTTGTACAGGCCATTTAGATTCGAGTGATGGCATGATTTGTACCACCAAGCACCCTTGTACAATGTAGCACAGTTACCGTTGTAGGCGTCATTGTCGCGGTCTTTAGTAGTAAATGACTGGCCATTGTGGTATTTTAGAGAATCTCCAGCAGTTCCTGGAAAATGAGTACCAAAGCCATACTTGTGAGAAGGGGAAATTGCATAGGCGAMAATAACCACACAATATGGCAAAGRTAATGAGAACAGAAACAGAGATGATAGCGAGRCTGTCAGTGTGACAATGGTTTTGACAATACARCATATCGGCGGCSAGGACGATAGCAATGGCTATAGCAACCGTCGACATGTAAGCATGAAGATATAAATAACAATGTCAGTGTCGATAAAACTAGTAATAAATTGTTTATTGTTAATAAAAACGGCAATAGAAAATATAAAATTTTAGTGGAGCTATAAAAAGTATGACATAAGAGTAAGTCGACAGCGATGTTGATATCAATAACCATGGCAACAATGATAGTCCAGCAGCAAATAATCTATGATTACCTGAATATCCRCCAACAGTCAGTTTATATTTCAAGTTTTCGTTGGCTACRGAAAAAAGCTTGTAATCTGCATAAGCCGTTTTCCCTCCAGTATCTTCCAGTTCAACACGCAGTTCGTTCTTTGCCTGGTTGGTTAGTCGATGGATTTTATCTAGACCCAACCAAAACTCGCCMTCAAGGTGACCAAAACCATCTTTATAGTCTTTCCAGTTTCTATAGAAGTTAACTGATCCGTCCTTTCGCCTCTGTATAACWACCCATCCGCCGCCTTGTGTCTCTTGRTCGCAGTAAACCTTGTAAGAAATCAGAATTCATGATTCACACTGGTGTACAAAAGTTGCCGAACGCAGTCCCAGGGGGGTTAGGGTGGGGACGGGGTGGGGTGGGCTTGGGGAATTGTTCGGAAACACGTAAGTTAATTTACCTGGAAGGAGCTTTTGTGATCAGGCTTGATTTCGTACACACCACTTTTCCTGTCGCCTTTTGACAAAATCTCCAAGCAGTTCTTAGGCACTACATCAAAATGATAAAGCGTTAAAAAGACTATTGTATAATTTCACATTTTATATTGTAAAGCCTGCAGTACGAAGACTCAATCAAGCAGTTTTCGTTACCTTTCTTGTTGTTTCCTTTGTTAGCCAAACACTTGTYGAGTTTTCTGTTCATGCTTACTAATAAAGACAGYATGAGTCTTGTGTTGAACSCACAGTTGCAGCTGACATGTTTAACACTAAACAGTCTTTTCTCTTTTGGGAAATCAAAGATGATARTGATGAGAACATAATCAGGTTAACCCTAAAGCTTATAATAGACAATTAATAAAGGGGCTAAAGCTTAGGTAATAATTAAGTATGTTTTAGTCAAGGTCGTTCCCAGGCCTTTATCCCTTCGTTTGGGGTCAGGTGGGCGCCTAGCCAARGGAGGGTCTGGCAACGAGGCTTGGCTTTAGATATAATTTCAGGGAAAGTCTCTAATACGTATGATTCATTTTGATGCTCAGTGGCATTAAGTCAATAAGTGCCCCTACCCCAAYACTTTTAGCAATTTTTTAAAGAGCTGAACATTTCAGCGCATGCGCATATCTGCCTGGCAATGATGTCATCATTATATTTGTTATGGATGATCAATCGTACAAATTATTATTCGATAATCTATGTTGCATAATTACATATTAAARATTGTTTGCTTTGATTCAGTTTTCAGTTAAACTTGTTTAAACCATTTTGAAGAAACAGTAAACTGAAATTTTAAATATTGAATGTGTTTGTCTATAATGGCGTGAACTAATTTTGACACATGCTTGACTATTTGTGTAAATACAACAGCGGCAGCATGCTTTCCATGCCAATTTATCTTAGAATTGTTTTAAGAAAAGCTACATTTGGAGTGATTTACATTTGTAAAGTTTATGGCTACATTTCSACCCTCAATTGTAAAACATTTTCTCATAATATCTCTGAGAGATTAACTTCACTAGAGGTGTTTGCGATGACAAACCTCAGTATCACGAAAGACCATCAAACTGAAGAAGGCGCGATAAATATTATGAACCCAGCGATCAATTCGATATAAAATGTTACATACATACTTTTTGAAATTGCAGCACTCCCACTACCAAGAACACCCGCTATGAGAAGCATACAAACCAATTTGATTGCCATGGCGGTCGCCCTTCCCTTCGGCCTTAGCTTCTAGAGTATAAACAACTAAGCCCTCAGCAAACCACTTCTTTTATGCTCTGACTGAAGCTATAGAGACTTTATTTAATCTGGTTTTTAATAAGCTTAATAAGCACAATCATAACCATAATCACAAGAAGTACGATAATAAGAGCTATGAAATTCTAAGATTCTAAGATTTTTTTCTTCTTCTTCGAGCTCATAAASGAGGATTGCATTTTTTTATGAAAGCAATGATCAAAGTTAGATCAAATCTAACTTTCATTATCGCAAGTGGCACTGCTTATAAGTGGTTTCAAGACAAACTGGCCATTTTATTAGTCAATACTTATAATATCAGTTCACACAACGAAGCATTGCATTATACTTTTCGGTATTGCAAACAGACAACAAGATAAAGTTTAGTAGTAGAGATATTCCCCGAGATCCCCCAAAACACTTCCTGTTTACTTGAATTTTGTCAAAACGAAACCTCTAGTGGCTCCAACTTTAAGTGGCAGAACAAAAAAAAACATTTCGAAATAACTCATTACGACCCCTCCACCCTACTTAACATTTATATTGATTCAACACATTCAATTGACGTTGTGAGCTATTTCAGGAGGAGCCGACGGGTTCCCGGGAGAAATATATCTGTTCTTATGTCCCAGCCAGCTGTAAGTCACACCTGGTTGCCAGCGAGAAATTCAGGAAAAAAGAACTCACCAGGCAAGGAATACTTTCTAAGAAAGTTTTTGCCGGGAAAAAAATATTTCCTAACTAAAAAAATCTAAGCCGTTTTTCACCATAAAAACATTATATAAGCCTTTTTTGACCTTAAAAACGTTTACAAGGAGAAAATTATTTCAAAAGAAGGAAGGCCACCACATTTGCTTGTGAGAGTGTCAGCAATGTAGCTCAAAATCCCTTTCCCAGGAAAAAATTCGTATTAGAACAGTTATTTAGAAGAACAGACCCCGTCGGCTCCTCCTGCTATTTCTATATTGTTCCCGTGATACTAGATGACTAGAACTTCACGGCCTTTCTTTTTCTCTTCTCTCTTACTATCAGCAAATTCCTCTGGTATTGGAAGATTGTTGGTCTCCTTGAGACATACATAGCACAGCAGGCCACCGATGAATGCATTCAATGTCATGACTGCTTGTGGCAACACTGGATGAAGCCGAATCTGAAAAATACAACAAACAATCAGCGCGATATTCGAGAATGAATGCGTTATAAATACAAAATATATAATCAGATTTTAAATAAACTGTATATTGCACATTCGACGTCGTTTCGTGTAGAACGTTTTTGCTCTCATCACATGTTGAAATCATCTGTGTATCTATTAGAGTACGGAACGCAAGGAGAAATAGAGTCTATTTGTTAAATTCCTCCACGAATATTTTATCACAAACAGTAATATATTTACCAGATATGCAATGAAGCCAGTCGTCACCACACCGACGTTAGTAAAAGTTGTTCCTCCTCCAATTGCAATATTCCTTGTGTTTAATAGTGAAAATTKGAAATTCAGTAGTCATGCATTAAGATGATGATGTTGGAAGAAAATCAAGTGCATTACTGAGATACAAATTATTTGATGTGTATCGGAGGGTTTGGTGTACAGTCCTGTTAGCTATTGCTCCTCATGGATGCATTCATGCTCAGTGCTTAGTTGACAATTAAAACCGTCGTCGGGTCGCAAAAAGATGATATCATTGAATCACCGAAGGGGCTTTTTATCAAATACTCAGAAATTCGAATCATATTTGCCTTAGCTTGCTATAGTTGCAAAGAAGGCCATTATAATCAGTGCAATCAATCTTATTGTACATGAAAACACATTCAGACTTATAATATCTGCTTTCCCATGCAACCTTTCGGTCTTATCTTTAATGATGTAACCTTTTGGAACCCRACTAGGTTGTGGTTTGCTATACTCTACCTGACTGATGTGGGGTAGGTCTCTGCAGTAAGTAAGCCAATTCCATTATATGATGTTACGATGAAGCACTTTGCCAGCACCATTGTGAACATAATTTTTCCAATTAAGAAACCTATGATATCAGAAAAAACCGTTGAGACCAAATTCAAATATTGTCATTTTTGAGTCAGTGCTTGGTTTTTGATACCTTTACTTCCATCGTCGTTAAGCGTGAAAATGACAGATCCGAGCGTTGACATAGACGCAAGAATTTGACTGATGACGGTAACTTTCTTTCTTCCAAATCTGAAAACAATTTACCTTGCAATCAGCTGAACACAGAATTCTACACACGAACAACAATTTGATCATTGAATGCAGTTTATGACGTTTTACCTGTTATACAGATGAACTCCCAATAGAGAGCTAACGAACTCTGATAGCCCTGCAAGGAACCAGTTGAAGTACAAGCTTCCTCCGATGTTTGGTGCAATCAGATGCAAACCGTTATAAATCATTCCATTGACAAACCTTCAAAGAAGAAAGAGGGTCAAAGTTGTCCAGAGACTCTTGCTGTTCAACCTTTAACGTACTTACCAGTTATACCAAATGACCAAGGTACGAACAGCAAATCCTGGTCGAAACAACAGTCGAACATCACCAGGATTAACTTTTTTCTCCCTTTCATAGTTGGGTAGCTCAATTTCTTCAGTTAAGACCTTGCGGTTTACCTTGGCGATTCGATTTAATGTGCGTCTTGCCTCGTCGAATCGTTTGTTGATGATAAGCCATCGTAGAGATTCTGGTACAAACCTGGAAAGGATTCGAAGGTTTTGATCAATTCACAAACAGTCCCACTGATATGGAACGATATTTCTAAGATAAGCAGTTACAAAAATATCATTCCTGGAATATAATACCTTACCAATAAAAGAGTAGCGCAGGCATTCCACAAATGGAGAGTATTAACATAAAGGTTTTCCAGTCACGTGCAAGGTGACCAATCCCACCAAATAACATGAATCCAACTCCATAAAAGGCCCAGATACTATTACAAAAAAGCGAGCGGTGTTTGCTGCCAACACATTCTGCAATAATGGTATATCCTGCACCACAAACTCCACCTGTAACATTTGTTAAAAATCAAGCGTCGTCAAGACATTACCAGTTCTATCAAGTTAGGCGCGTAGGCTGCCTTACAAATGGGGGTTGGTTTTTTCATGAAATCATTAAATGTTGAACTAAATCAGTTCCATGCACARGTATAGTGTGAAAGAACTGGCTGCTAAAATGAGCAGTTTTCAAAAACATATATAACAAAAGAATTTTAAAATAGAACAATAAAAAAAGAGAAACACCGGGCCTTTTAAGCTTGTGGGGGGGTTCGCCCGAACTCCCCCAACCCACGGGCCTGCAAGTCTTGACTAAAACGCCGTTTGTGGTGAGCTATTCTTACCTACTGCGATTCCTTGAAAGAAGCTCAGAGCAGCTGCAATTTCAAACACAGGCGAGTATTGCAGGACAAACAGTGCAATTGTTCCTATTAAACCAGCTAAGAATAATGCTTTCTTTCGTCCAAATCTGTCAGAGATGAAACCAACCCCAGCGGCACCAACGACTCCACCTATTGAGTCAATGGTCAGCATGATTGGAACAAGTGTTCCTTTGTCGCATACAAGATCAAACTGCAAAAAAAAGAGAAGAAGAAGAAGAAGAAGAAGAAGAAGAAGAAGAAGATGCAGTTTAATATTCATTCTAAAAGACAGAGTTTATGAGTAAGGTATCAAAGATGATATTCAATCTTCCAAAAGGGAAGTTTTCATGATGTTCAAGGAAGTTATAGCGGAGCTCACGCGCGAGCGGAGCACCATAGCTAAGAAAAAATGGTATATCCATCGAGTCGATTTTCGATGGACCGACACAGGGTTCCCGCGCGTACGCACGTTTCATTCCGTCCTTCCGTCCGGGCGTTCGTGTACCACCACAGGAAAACCATGCTCCAAAGGCGACAAAATATTTGTTGAAACATCGAGTTTTTTTTCTCAAACACTTATCTTCCAAATTGATAATATTAGAAAAAGTAATCACAAGAAAAAAATCCAGAGGAGAAATCAAAACACAGAAATATTCCCGCCAATTTTGTCATAAGTACGACGCGTCCRCACATCCGGGAAATCGATTTGCGAAGATGAAAAGCAATTTACTTTCGTCAAGTGTTTTGAGGCTCAGTTTTTATGAATAACAGGATGAATTTTCGCTCTGACATTTCGAACACAAGAAAATGATATGATGTTATATGGAATATACTGCAAAAATATGGGGAAAAGCAACAATCTGTGTGAATTTTGTTTGCCAAGAAGTATGGGGATTTCGATTACTTTGACTGAAATTCTAAATTTTAAAAATTTATGTTAATTAGATGTCGGTCATTATGGTAAAGGTGTATAAACATACTCTTTCTTAAGCTAAAATGAATAAATATGTTTAGAATATTTGTTTGCATGTCAACATTTCTTGAAACAGCGCATCTCTAGGGTCCATCTGTAACGTGGACAAGCCGTCATTTTTTCATCAGCGTCTGCGATATTTGAATTTATCTTTTGTCCTTTTTTATTAAAAAGAAAAGAAAAGAGGCACTAAGATTAACATTAATACAATAACCCAAGATAACATACCTGAGAGACCAGTGAGGTATATTCATCTATGAATTTCCATTCTCGTCGAGGTATTCTGCATCTGTATTCATAGTTGGGTTCACCAAGACCTATCGTCCCAGTGATGTTACAAACAGTGCTGTTCGCAATGCACTCCCAACGCGGTTCAGCTATCAGAAGATAGATACTTCCATCATTGAAGCAAGCCCAGCTGATTAAAGCATACACGGTAAACAGAAAAACCAGTTTTTGGAAAAGACCAAAGTTGCCAATCTTATCAAATACATCTTTGGTGGTTGTTGGGGCTTTGGGAGTGACCATGCTTTGGCGTTCGTCGAATGCTGCATCTTTGTTTTYAAGGGCGGACATTATGTACTTTTTTAGTACCAACTTTTTTATCTATAATGAATGATGCTGCAGATTATCATCATAATCCAAGGTACATTAAGTCGATTTCATAAAAAGAACATGCTACTTGAGCACTTGGTCATGCCATATACATCCAAAAAAAAACGATACCCTGGTTGGCGGCACGTCCCCGTATAGCGAATATAGGGGAGTACCCCCCGGGCAGTGTGGTATCCTGGTTTTTACATTGAAAACTTTACGCTGACAGTAGAGTTGTTTGTCGACCTTTTTAGTTCTCCACGCACGTCACGTACCGATGACTCGGAAATTACAGAGAAATGTATGGAGAGCTAAAAATGAGTTTACTTACTCCCTAGGTCTACTATGTCTTGTAGTATCTTACGTTTGAAATAAATGATTCTTTCAGAATTTCAGAACTCAACTGGAAGTACTGGACTTTGGCTGTTGTCCACTATTTAGGCAGGACTGGCCAGCCAGTTCGCTCTATATTTAGAGGTATATTATGCTTTTTGTCAACATTTTTCAGTCATTTCGAGGTTTTCTATAGAACAATGGATAGAAGTTGAAAATTTGAATTCCCTAACTAAATAGGAATGAATATAATGACATTTTCTCTGGGTCTGGCCATCCAGTTCTGACAAACGGAAAGCGCCCTCAGTTTATCCTTGCATTATCTTGGAAGACTTTGCCTACCGGTAATATTGTAACATGGCGGTAAAAAAACGTGAATCCAACTAAAACAGACTGTATTACATCTGTTAGTAGCCTACCTGAATTCGGCATTAACAAAGCTAAGTTAAAAAATACTCCGTCTAAGATAAGAGCACGCGATGCACGTCACTCGAAGACGATTATAGTCTAAATAGTCTAATAGAGGGTGTACCATGCAACTATATTAGATTAATAATCTCCTTAATTCTCCTTAAATTGTCAATTTACCTTTATGGATTGAAACAGCTAGAAGAATGAATTCAAATCCTAATTGTCTCGACAGTAGTGTTTCTTGGCAAAGATTATGTTGCATTCAATTCTTCAAGTATCATTTTGCGGTTATATCGCACCGGACCCGCACAGGCATGTCAWAAAAATTAACTCTTATGGCCCGTAAACTACTAAATATTTATAAAGCTATACTAAGGGCAAACCTAATGCAGTTCCTACATCAAAGATACACATAGAAATGTCCCATCGGCAGACTAGAACGTATACCAGAACATAAAATTCCATCTCCATAGCAGAGGCGTTAATACGTGATAGCGTATTTAATTACATTTTCGTGATCCGAGAATGAAAGAAATAACTTTTCGTGATTAATTCGTGCACGGAACGTCTCCCGTGTATTATATGCGTAATATTCAAAATCACCCTGAAATCATGACAACAGCAACAACAACAACTCTTTATTTGTACCTTTGACAAAAGTTTATAATTGTGATCCTGCAGACGATTTTTGATGGACTATAGCCAAAGAAAAGTGCTCAATTTCACCCCAAAATGACGATTTTTGATGGACTATAGCCCATGAAAAATGATCAAAAACAGTCCAAAATGACGATTTTTGATGGACTATAGCCCATGAAAAGTGATCTAAAACAGCCCAAAAATGACGATTATGCTCTCTGAAGCTATTCAGCCTTTAATCTGGTTTTCAGTCACACATAARCACAATGGCATAATAACCATATAATCACAAAMACTATAATCACTTGAATTTCTTGTTAAAACAACGAAACCTCTACTGSCTCCAAATTTAAGTGRCAGAACCAAAAGAATCATTTCAAAACAATTMATCAACACCCACCGCCCTACCCATTAGGCTAACATTTGGTGATTGCGCTATTTCTATATTGTTCCCGTGATTCTAGATGACTAGAACTTCACGCCCTTTCTTTTTCTCTTCTCTCTTACTAYCAGCGAATTCCTCTGSTATTGGAAGATTGTTGGTCTCCTTGAGACATGCATAGCACAGCAGGCCACCGATCAATGCATTCACTGTCATGACTGCTTGTGGCAACACTGGATGAAGCGGAATCTAAAAAATACACCCGTTTCTTTTTTCCACGTATCATGAGACTAGAATGCCGTTATTTTATCAACGTTCTACTGAGGGATTCCTGAGAAATTCAATCGAGTTATACAGTCATCATAATGGTGTTTTGAGATGGTTGAATGGTAATTC